AGATCTCTCAGGTCTTCAGGGACTGGTCAGCTTTCTGTCCCCAGAGTCAGAACTAAACAATGGAGAAGCAGCTTTCAGTTATTATGCTCCAAATATCTGGAACAAACTCCCAGAAACCTGCAGGTCCGCTGCAACTCTGACTACTTTTAAATCCAGGCTGAAGACTTTTCTTTTTGTCGCTGCTTTTAATTGAACTATTCATATCTTAGTCTGCACTGTAACTTTTATCCATGTATTTTTTCTTTTAATGTTTATTTTATTAGCTTTTCTTTTTAATGACTGATTTTAAATGCCTTTTTCTTAATGTCTTTCATTTTTTGTAAAGAACTTTGAATTGCCTTGTGTTGAAAAGTGCTATATAAATAAGCTTGCCTTGCCTTGCCTTGCCTAGTTGTTGGAAAACTCTGTCTACCATCAAGGTTATACTATACTGTAAGGTTATAACTAAACTCTAAAAACTATACATGAGCCAGTCAATGTTCCAAAAGTTAAACAACTAGAGACATAAACTCAAATGTAAGCTCCAACTTCATTGCAATTTATTTGGGGCTAAAGTCAATGTTTACAGCTGTTTTGAACGTTGTATGCTTAGGTCTACATAGCGCAGCAGGAAAACAGGATTTTCAATCAAGCTGAAGTGTTCTAACCTGAAAATAGAAAAATAAAAACTGGGATTCAGTTTTCAGCTCAGGAAAGAACTCCGGTCAAGTTATGGAAAGTCATAAAATAAATTATCTTTTAGTTTAACTGCAGATTAGATTTTCCCTTAAAATGACTTCAATTCTTTATTGTTTGTTTAACCTGGCGTCTATCGATTGATCAGTTTACCAATTATATGCTTTTATAACTCTTAACTTTACCTGGTTGCATTCAGGAGATGTAGTTTTTGTCAAGTATATCATTTATTCTCAATAATGTGTTCTATATCCAATGCAGTTCTCACACAGCTTTCAAGATATGGTAATCTGCCACATCTGCCTTTAGCAACCAAACTCAGCAGGACTGAGGGCTCAAAGGAAACTTGACCTCCTGATTTATTATAACCGGGATATTAAGTTTACGTTAATCCCCTTTTGGAAAGCATGCAAGTGAGAGTATTGTTAACAAAATCCTTTACATCAATCAATCAATCAATCAATGTTTATTTATATAGCCCAATATCACAAATGTTACAAATGTTACATTTGTCTCAGTGGACTACTTTACATGCATGCATACACACACACACTAGATTTAAATTAGCTTTGTAACAACTTAACGACAGTATAACAGCACACACAAACATATGCGTGCCCAAACACACTCCATTGTGTGTGTGCAAACAGTGAGCAAATGATTGTTGGCTGTGAAAGGGTTAACAGCGGTCATGAGCCATCCCACCGCTAAATTATTCAATAAGCTGCGATCTAGTTTCATCAACTGCCAACGCCACTGCCAGTGGTCGCATGCAGAGAGAAATATAAACATTAAACGTATAAAAAAAAAAAAAAGGTTATCCAATCATCACCAAAATGTAAAACACAGCATATACATCAAGCTGTAATTATCAGCATTAGCATGTCCGCTGAACTAGCTTACTACTAACTAACTTCTTTAATTGTTCGTTTAGACAGAATGTTTTGCCAGCGTTTGATTATTTGATGCCTCTAATGTAAGATTCAGATTTGTCTAATGTTAGCTGGATATGTTAAAGTCAGATAGACACAGCATTTTCAAAAAACTCATGAAGCTAACATTGTTCAGCTAGCTAGCTACGGTTGTGTGGAAACTGATATTTCCATAGGCAATGCAACTGTAACCTAGGGGGCTGGTGTTTTGTGAAAATGTAGCTTACCTTTATAAAGTTCAAAGAAATTACATGGGCTTTCAAGTCAAAGCTGCAGCCCCTGTCTGACCTTGCGTGACAATTCATGTTGCACTATAATAAACAAAAAAAATTGTGTATTTTATAATGTAGTCAAAGTGGCGTAACCCAACCACAAAGTCAAACACAAGTCTTGCGTGTACACTGCACTCTCCCACACATGTACTCACACAGACTGACAAACAAAGGCTGATTGTGACAGGAAGCTAAAGGAATTCATGGGATGGCACTTGTCCCATTGACAACAGGCTACATCCTCTCAGTGTGCCACAGTCACACAGAGGCCAGTACGTATGTCTGAGAATGTCACTGTGTGTGTGTGTTGTGTTACCAAACTCCATAATGTTCTACTGTGGGCGTGAAATATTCCATATTGTTTTCCGTATAGAAAAAGCACTCTGATTAATTGAAGAATTTTCCATGTGGACATTTATGGGCCTGGAACAAAACATGGACAGTGTTTTCCAACCAGTTACTGCGTCTCCTCCCATTGGGACTGTTTTGAAAAATGTACAGATGCAGATAAGCGGTCGCTTTCCTGATGACAGCCTGTTTGCCGACAAAGATGGAAAACATCTATTTTTCCTCCACTCAGATACAAATATTTTTCACATTTTTCCATTTTCAACACCCACAGTTCAAACAAACATGGTGAACCCATTTCAATCAATGACCTCTCGTATGGTAGAGAGCGAATGGTAACTTCAGGCCCTCAAATACCCTCTGCCTGACACTAAAATCTCTATCTTTAACACACAAGTAGGACAGTTGGATCTATGCACTATCAATAATAAACCAAGGACACACAGTCGTGCTGTCTCCCTCCATCACTGACACAAACATGCACAATTAAGCTTGTTAGATCAAACCCACAGTACCAAAAGACCAAATCAAAAAGGTCCAAAATGCACTTAAACACCAAAGACTGAGACGTTGAGAGATGGTACAGGCCCCAGGGGGTGATTAGTGGGTGTGGACATTCATCGAGAGGCAGTCAGAGGTTAGATTGGCAGACACTTGCGTCTCCCCCACATAATGACTCCCAGCTGTGCTACTCTCACTGTTTATGTTAAATGAGTTCCACTGCGAGCTCTTTTCCTCTCCATGGTCGCTAACTGTAAACTTCTGTCATTTTGATTTTTCTGTAAGGCTCTGTTTATCTATCAGTCTGCAGTATTTCTCTGGGCTCTGCAGGCTGTTCTTAAATCTACTGTTTCTCCTCTTGAACTCTCCTTCTCAATCCTCTCGCTGCATCTAATTTTCTTCCTTCCCACGCACTCTCTTCCTCCTTGCTTGTTCTTTTCCTCCTCTCCCTCTCTCTGCTGTTTCTTCATTGCCTCGATCCCAGGATGCTAATATATTAGATATTCCAAGGAGGGAGATATATATATATATTGGAATATCTAACCCAGCTGCCCAACACAGGAACTTCCTTTCTGGCCAGGAAAGGAAGATTTGGAGGGATTCATTAGAGTGTTTGCTCTTGATTTCTACCTCCGTCTCAGGGCAGACTGCCTAGATCACAGTTACCCTAAAGAATTATATGTTGCCATCTGTGTTATTTTTGTCGAGGCTTACGTTTGCAGGCTCTGTTGTGGTGATCCAGACTCAGCCATAATTCCTCAAATATATTTGCAATAATTGCACAAGAATGTTGAAGGGGAAGTTTAAAAAAAATGTTTCTTTCTTTCATTATAAATCATGAACCATCTTCTCCTCTCTACCGTACTTTTGTCTCTCTTTCTCTCTCTCATGCCACCCACATACTCCATTTGTATTTTTAGCATGCACAAAACGGACCATGATAGTTGCTTCACATGAAACAATGGAGTTATCAGATTACGTAATACAGATCTGTCCGATGAACACAGTATGTGCACCATATGTAGACTCATATTTGGTCACCCAACACCCACTCTACCTGTCAGTAACCTCACAGCTAATATCAGCTGAGGTTACAGAGCTGGCCACCAGCTCTCATCCCTCTCACTGCACATGTTTTACCCGGTGTGTGGGTGGAAAATCAGTGTGATTATACAGGTTCTATAAATGTCTTCACGCAGGCTTTAAGGCTTGTCAGTGATGAGCTGCAAATGGACATTTTCACTCCAAGTACATACAATCTATTCAACAACTTTGACAAAGGAGATGCATCAGGAAAGAGTGATGTTATAGAAAATAACTATTATTATTATTACCACTATTACTATTAGGATCCATACTTATACAAAATAAATGCACTCAAATTCTAAAATAACAGGAGACGTGACGTATAAAGGGCGACTGTGAATGGAGGATTTCGGGGTGATTGGATGGGTCTAAAAACAATGGATTCTCACCCAACAGACTGTGAAACCAGAAATTAGCATTTACCTATTTATTACACAACTTTGTTGCAAATGTTAGCCCAATACACAATCTTTTCCACGAGCTTATGTAGTTGTGTTGCCTAAAAAGGTTCTGCACTGCAAGGGCTTGCCCAAGATATCTTGTGAATCATTGTATGAGGTTAGGTTGACTATCAATCTTAATAATTTTTCTAAACTGATTGTTGTTTTTAAGTCTTTGTTTTTAAGTCTTGTATTACTGTGTGATCTTCTTTGTTGCTTGTTTTTAATTATGCTCTGTAAGGTGTCCTTGAGAGCTTTGAAAGGCGCCCATAAATAAAATGCATTATTATTATTATAAACAACGTGATTTCTTTACAGGAAATTAGCTGATCAAATTATCACCTGAATCTCCTCCTAGAGCACCATTGTGTTATTTGTAACCAAATATCTCTCAGAGGGGCGTGGGGAGGGGCTCCTTATTTTCATCTAAAGTAACAGACAGAAAATCAGCACTTTTGGAACAGGGCTGAAACAGAGGGGATTATGGGATGCTACAATGCATGATCTGTTTGGTATTTCGAAGCAAACACTTCAGAGACATGTTTTGTATATATCTGAGACCTATAATATATTGATGAAAAAGAGTACAATAGGAGACCTTTAAGGCAATATAAATGTTGTGATTTAATTTCTAGCTCCTTTCTGAGAATGATCCCATGTCTCGAGCATTTCAGAATTTAACCCGTTTGTCATCAGTAACTAAAGTATGAACTTGTACATTTATGTTTTTTACTTTTCCCTTGCAGGAGGCTGTTGCCCAGGTTGAAGCCGAGGTCCAGTTGCGGCCCCCGGTCGACCCGTCCGAGCTCGTTCCACGCCTCTGCCACCTGATCCGGTCTGACGCCGGCTACGGCTTTAACCTCCACAGTGATCGATCCAGGCCCGGACAATACATCCGCTCCCTGGACCCCGGATCAGCTGCAGACCACGCCGGGCTCCGGGCCCAGGACAGGCTGATTGAGGTAGGACAAAGGAGCGTGGATGTATTGTCTGGGTATTACAGAACAGTGCAATCTAATACAACAACACTGCAGTAAATCCTCCTCTGGTCTCGTTTTGTGTGAACATGGTCAGATTTGAAGCTCTGTTACCTTTTTGCTGATTGGACTGCATTTTATAATTGTTGTTGTTGTGTATGATTAGATGTAAAGATTAACAGATACATTATTTAGCTATGAATAGATTTACCTATAAACAAATACAAATAGTTTCTGAAATTGTGTCTTGAGAGCGTTCCTCAGAAACAAAGCAAGCTAAATAGGTTTGTATATTTTTTCCCAAAGGGTGGGATTAATTCAATGTATTTATCTGGACTTCCTGACACTTCAATATCCTTTGATATTTGACCAACTGTAGAATGATGACTGTAGCACTTTTTTGCCTATACGATATTTCCTCAAAACCTTTTGTTGACATTTTTAATGAATCTAAACTCTGGCCACTATAAATTCCACCTTGAGTTTGTTAAGAAAATGCATGCAATATGGCTCAATGCAATTCTGTATTGCATGTTTTATTATTTGACTTGTATGATGGTTAACATATTATTGAGTTGGAAGCTATAAGAGCATAGATTGCAATAGAAAAAGAAATAAGATACAAAATGAAAAGTAGATTTTCAAAAACGAACTAGTGCAGCTGTAGATACAGATACAAAAACAGATGTGTATGTGACATAAACAAATACAAGGTTATAGCCCCAGTGTATATGCATATGTGGTGGATCAGTTAGGAGTGTTTTTGTGTCAGAAGTTAATGGGATGGCGAGAGACCTCCATGGTTGTGATAAGCTTAAAGGAATATTAAGGAGTATTAAGTGAGTGTTTACATGCATGTATGAACTTTGACAGCAGACCCAGGCAGAGAAATGAACCCATACTAATGAGGTGACTACTGATGAATTATTCTGGGTTAATCTGGTAGATGTCTGAGAGTAATATGATTTACTGGGTGTGAGAAAATCCCTCTATAAGCAGGGCTGCACATAACTAACAAACAAAGAGCACCGGGTCATTTGAAACAAAGCGCATTTGCGTACCATCATTGAGAGGGAGAGAGAGAAGAGAAAAGAGAGGAGAGAGGAGAGATGAGAGAGAGAGAAGAAAGAGAGAGAGAAAGATATTTGCGAGTTGCATATTAACCATGATATGAACTCAGGGCCGGCCCGTAGCACTGGCTAGATGTTCGCCTAGGGCGCTAGATCTGTGGAGGCGCTGCGCTGGCAGTTCTGGGAGGGAAAAAAACATTTTGACCGTTGGGGCTCATCCTAATTTTCGGCCTTGATGTAACAATATTTACAATTAAGTAAATGTAACACCCTTTTCACCCCGGTTCCACCTTTCATTTGCCCTGTATGATGGGCGCTGTAAGTGATGAAAATGGGGGATGTTGGCTTATCTGGCGCCCGCAGCTCACAGACAAAATGCGAGTGAGCGAGGGAGAGAGGGAGGGTGGTACCAGCGCTGTTGTTATTATAATCTGGTGCCGTGTTAGCTGCTCTAACGGAGATAAGAAGAAGATGTTTCTACAATAATGTGGAGGGAGAGTCCTCTCCAGTCAGACTGAGAGGCTGATAAGTTAACTACAGCTCAGTGAGGTAAAGGACTCTTAGTCTAAATTCAGACGGTTTGGTCACAATTTATGCAAACACGTATTTCCAAGGCACTCCTTTGTAATTATTGGGATAAACAGGTTTGAAATCATTCCAATGTATACTATAGGACAGTAACCAAAAATATCCTTTAAAACTGGAGATTTAAAAAAAATGCATAAATAAATAAATGTTAAGGTAAAATAAGATATGAACAACACAAATAAAATAAGTTACATTAATTTGTTATTGGCTATGGTAGGCTATTGGTTATGTTCACATACTTATTTGATTACATCCACTTGTCTAAGATGACAACAGAGACTTTCGACCCAAACCCAGCTGTTGACTTGTGGATGCAAGCAGCTAATCGCAGACTCAACCAGAGAGGAAGTAGTAGGCCTACATCATCAGCTACCATGTCTGACAGAGAGGAAGACAGTGAGGAGAACAGTCAGGAGGGTAGTGATGACAGCTTGTAGGATTACTGGTCGTGCTAATGTTGTCTTGTGTTCACCTCTGCATGTGTGTTCTGTGCCGTGTGTCTGGCAAATAAAGTCAAGACCCCCTCAAAAGTTACGGTTTATTTCATTTTAAGGATGAGCACCAAGCAACATCTCCAGGTGCTCCTTTGAGAACCAGGGCAAAAAAGTTATGTGCACCCCTGTCTATAAGCCTCTTCTCGCCCTGCGTTGTGTCATTTTTTCTGTTGCTTTGTAGGTGTGTTTGAACTGTATACGTGTGCTGCTGTGTGCCTACACTCCTGATTTTACACATGTGCCCACATTTCCACACAACCATCCAGTCCATTATCTCCAAATAAATCTCCATGTACACTTATTTGACCTTCTGTTTAGCATTAAATCCATGACACACCAACACACCAACACACAGCACTGCTTACCAGTGCTTCTCAGCTAAAGTAGCTCCAGGCTGCTCAGAACGTCACTAAAAGTCAACAGATGTCATTGTCCATTTCTTCGAGAATAACTCAATCCAACAATAGTAGAAATAAAAGTCAGTCATCTGTGGAAGAATCATTATACAGAGAGCTGGTCCAAAACAAAAGTAGATATACCTTTTGTCTAAAGTTACAGAAACGTTTGCGTTTTCACACTTGATCAAATACAGATGTGACCCCATCTATATAAACTGTCACAGCTGTAATTAACAAGGCAGGAGTCACACGTGTGTCTGCTGCCAGGCCTCTGTTACTAAAGATAACAGGACCTGAAGCCTGGACTCAATCTTCACTGTGTGTCAGACTGCAGAGAGAGAAGAGGCCGGTCAAAGGGGGGAGGAGAGTCCGTTATAAATCAGTCCGATCGCAGGGGGTGGCAGGGGGAGGAGGAGTGTGTGTGTATGCCGCTTCTTTTAAAACATAGAGAAAAAGAGGTAGACAGTGTGTGTTGGATTACAAAAAAGCAGTGGATAGTGAAGATGCAAGGACAAAAGGAGTGTCCCCAACAACAGATAACAAAAGCAGACTCTAAATGTTTCTGTCCCAAACTGAATCTCATGCATTTAAGTGTCAGTCAAATGAAAGTTAAAAGATATTCGATTCATCTCGACATGAGCAAATAGGTGACAAGGTCATGCGTGTTTTATCAAGTTTGCCACGATGAAAAGTACAACCAATTACGCTGGCAGTAACATCATAATTTTCATTATAAGCAGTTTTCCATCTGAGTTTACACACACAACATTCATCCTTCATTCCCATGACCTTTGTGCTCACTGGCTGAACATCAGGGTGCAGACCAGGCCAAACAGGACTCAGTGGGGTCTGATAGGGAGGCTAAACAGAGTTCAAATATATAGGATCTCCCAACATATACGTTTTTTTTTTTGCATGTTTAAAGGGCCCATGTCATGCTTTTCCGGTTATTACCCGTCCCCTTGTGTGTTATGAAGGTTTATATGCATGTAAACGGTCTGCAGAGTCAAAACCCCTCAAAGTACACCCTCTAGCAAGTAAAACTCTAACACAGTCTATGCTGCCCCAAAACGCCTCGTTGGAGATTTCTCATTTTCCATTGTTTACTTCCTGGGTACTGTGACGTGTGAATACTGGGCACACAGAGGGGGGGGGGGGGGGGGGGGGGGGGGGGGGGGGGGGGGCAGGAGCTTCAACAAGCCGTTTGGGACAGAGAGTGAATACCGGTGAATTCACATACTTTACAGAGATGCTGTATGAGAAACCAATGTGAGTTTGGAAAATTGCACAGTATAAATCTATTTTAGTATACCTCAACAATGGAATTATGATCAGTAGAAATGGCCATGACATGGGCCCTTTAAGACAACTTTTCAATCAAATCTTTGGTTAATTTCTTATTTCCCAGACAGCTACTGGTATTATTTGATAGGAGACTAATATCCTAAAAGCCCCTTGCAGAGATATGAAAGTTGCTTTGCACAACAAAAAGATAATGTTCTTTCCTAATGATGAATCAAGTGTAATATAACATGAGCCAGCAGCTGGTTAGCTTAGCTTAGCACAAAGACAACATGGTAAACTGCTAGCCTGGGACTGTGTGAATGTAATACAAATAGAATTTAACACATTGAATCTCGTTTTGCTTTCTGTTTGCATAAGACTTCGCACTGTTTTTGTTTTGGAAGCATTTTGCATTTCCTGTGGGACGCTTTAAGGTCAACTTTATGATTGTCCTGGTAGAAAATGTGGTTTAACATTAGCTTAATAACTATCTCAGTGCTTTAGTTTGGTTGAGAGAAAAATCTGAGTCCCCGTCGGGTTGGGTGGCTGTAGTGTGTGTGTGTGTGTGTGTGTGTGTGTGTGTGTGTGTGTGTGTGTGTGTGTGTGTGTGTGTGTGTGTGTGTGTGTGTGTGTGTGTGTGTGTGTGTGTGTGTGTGTGTGTGTGTGTGTGTGTGTGTGTGTGTGTGTGTGTGTGTGTGTGTGTGTGCGCGTGCGCGCATGTGTGTGTGTGTGTGTGTGTGTGTGTGTGTGTGTGTGTGTGTGTGTGTGTGTGTGTGTGTGTGTGTGTGTGTGTGTGTGTCCACATGCTGATAATTGCAACCGTCTAACCATGCGTCAAGACAGCGCTTGTGTTATCTGTCAGCAGCCCGTTAGAGAGGTGAACAACCATGACAGATCTCTCTCTCTCTCCGTCTCTTTCTCACCACGCCCCATTACGCTGGAGGTGTATCAGCAGCTAGCGCTGTAAAGGCTATGATGAGAGCCCAGCTGTCGATGCTTGGCAGAAGCAGTGACACCAGTGAATGCTTCATCAGGCTTTCTGCTCAGCCTGTGCTCAACAGTGCGTACTCTGTACCTTTACAAACTTGAGAGTGACACTAAAGAACATAGAAAAGTGCACCATACTCACACTTGAGGTTAACTTCTTGGTAGCCCACCTGATACCTGGATCAACCTTTTCACGCTGTTCCACATCAAAGAAACTTGATTCTAAGTTGTTGTCAGGCATTTTACTTTTATATTTTTAATGCACAAGACTGTAGACAACTATAAAAAGCTTCAGAAATTATTAGCTTTAACCATTTTAGCAATGTGGCTGTATGGGTGGTAATGTCGGTCTGTAACCCTCTTTGTTCCAGATGGACATAAACTAAACTATTGGAGGGACTGACATGACATTTTGCACAGGTCCAATGTTTTAGTTTCCAGTACATCATCTTTTAGCTTTGTGGTGTCATTCACATTCTGTTATTAGCCTCGCTGTGCCTAAGTACAGCAGAAGTCTCTTTTGTAAAGTTATTTTTAGCAGACACAAATAAATACATTCAGAGATATCATGTGCACCACTTAAACATAAAAAAGTAAATCTGTCCTTGTTCCTTTAGGTTCGATATACAAATGCATGAAAAAACAAGCGAGATACTGAATTGCACACACACAAAAATCCCTGACAGACCAGATTTGGTGACCATGGTCAAACTGTTCACATAGCCACTTAGATGCATATTGATTTTCATTGTAACTGTAGTCATGCAGGTATGTTTTGAGGAGCATAGAACAAAATGATCAAAGAACAAAATGATCTGTCCATCGTTTTAAACAACAAATGGTGAGACATTACCATGAAATCTTTCTACGCAGAGTGATAAGTACTCTTTCCACTGGAAAAGAAAACATCACAGCTGTTGTGGGAACATTACATTTTCCACTCATTTATCTAACAGGATGTGCAGTTGCTGAATCATGCATTATCTATAACAGATTTTCTAACAATGGGGTGCAGACTTCATCTTAATCACCTCATTGTTTGCTGCATGGTCAGTGTGAAAAGGAGCTTATGAGATTGCGTCTCTCTTTGCTAAATTAAACTGGAGACAGAAGAGTTAATTGCCACACATGCAACGTGCACACAGATGTGCAGACGCAACGGAAATTGTTTGTTTTGATTGATCCAAGGTTAGACTAGCTGCACTAACACAACCAAACGACATCAAAAATGTGTCAGGTGGCTGGACTCTACATGACTTTCATGAGTTATACACCTGAACACACATGCGCACACACACACACACACACACACACACACACACACACAGACAAACACGACAAGTATCGAGAGGTTCCCTTAGGAATATTCCCATGAGAAATAAGCTTCTGTACTGTTCCTGCAGCTCGTATTAATTAGCCCATTGTGCGCAGGGAGCAGAGTGTATTGTCTTGTGTGGGATGGACTGCTAATGAAGGGCTGTGAAACATGACACAACACCTGTTGTTTGGCCCAATACAAAGATGCTTGTTCTCTCTATATCAAACTGTCTGTCTGGGTCCCTGGCTGACTGATGTCTATTTTTTGTATGTCCGTCTGCTTGTCTATCATGAGTCCTGGGAAGAAAGGATACGTTTTTTTAACAGAGGAGAGGAGCAGTTCACATTTTCCATCTGTCGATTCCTCTCTCTTTTCTATCTTCCTTCCACTCTCTCTTGATCTTGTTTCCTTTCTTCCCTGAAAAGCCCATAACGTCTCTCTCATTCAACCCATTTGTCTTATTTTTTATATATAACCCACTTTCCACACACCAAGGCGCCCAAAAGCAGTTGTTAAGGGTTTATTTCCCTCTGCTTCACTAATGTGTCCCATCTTGTCATAAGCGGTGAATTTTAAACAAATTCCCCCTCAGGAATTGGACACCTGAAACCCGCACTATAGCCGGAGCCCAGGAGAGCCATCAATAATTGATTGTGCACCAACACTAACTTGGCATGGTGCGAAGCTACCTGCCTCAGAGAAGCCAGGGTCTAGACAAAGCAGGCCTCCAAATGTAGACAGCATCAAGATAAGAGAAAGGCTATTCTGTTTTGTTATGCCAATATTGTGACATAAATGGTCAATCACGTGCAGATATCATTTTGTCCCTCTGAGGGACGATTGTTGTAACCCCTTTTGGAATTGAAGGAGTCTTTAATCGTGGTAAATCATAACTCAACAGCTGCCCTGTAGAGCTGCCCTTAATGCTTCCCTCAAACCCTGTTTCAAGAATTCATAACAAGAGTTTGCGTAACGTTTTGTAGAGAGGTCATGTTGAAAAATGTGTAATCAGTATATTGTCCCACAGCTCCACCTACTGGATAATTTAGGTAGCACAGCTCTCAGTGTGGTATAAATGAAAGTCGTGGAAGATGGTTTACTGAGTCAGGTGTTGCATTCAAAACTAAGTTGAGTGTCATTTAAGCAATTCATGGACATGGAAAAGTTTGTCTTAGGAAAAAAAATCTCTTTCTTTCCAAATAAACCCTTCTCTTTTTTTCTCTGTTTTCCAGGTAAATGGTGTGAACATCGAAGGCATGCGGCATGCAGAGGTGGTGGCCTTCGTTAAGAAAGGGGGAGACGAGACCTGGCTGCTGGTGGTGGACCAAGAGACAGACGAACACTTCAAGAGGAGTGGGGTCGTCCCTACAATCAGCCATCTCAGAGGTAAACCTGCACATAACTGTCAGAACACCACATTAACATGCATGTTATGGTCATTTCATAATAGATAGTGATAGCAGGTATTTCACTGCAAAGACTGAGGTGGTCAACAAAACTGGTTACTATTTTAGAGTTCAATCACTTTTTTTTGGAAAGTACTTGAAGATCAGCTACATTCTCACTTGTTTCTTTGTGTACATTTACATTTCCTGCATGCTCAACTAAAATATCAGAGGTTATATTAACCATTATTGGAAGTAATTCAATTTAAATCAACTGATTTTTCCTATAATGAGTGGAAAATGACATGGTTATTTCTGGGAAACCAAGAACATTTAAGAATTGTATATAGTTCTCGACTAAAACATTAGTTGCATTCTCATTCAACGGGCAAAATAACCTTTCAATATTGCAAAAAAGTTGTAATACTCGGCTGAGGTGGAAAAGTTTAAGTAAGCAGGTGAGACATGTGCACTGGAAACAGATTTAACATACAGTACATACATGATGAACATGATGATAACCTTCCTTAAAAACCTCACAATAAACCGTAGTGGAAGGAAACAAGCCTTTTTTTGGATTAGACCTCAGGGAACCCTAATACAAACATTGTTGGACTGGGAACCCATTCCTTTGAATATCGACTATGTATAAAGACAACAAGAATCAATGGGATTTTCCTTTCTATAGACTATGACGGTCCCTCCATATCCAACGGCTCCCCGAACCCTCAGATCAACGGCAGCTCCACCACGCAGTCCTTCAGGTCCACACGCTCCGACCTCAGCAGCCAGGGCAACAGCACACAGGTGGGTGTGAGGATTACATGTATTCTGTTTGGTCTTTTACTTAGAAGTCAGTACCCTCAACCTTTATCTCTGTCTGTGCGTCTTTAATTCCATCTCCCATTTAGCTGGCAGAAGATGAAGGCAGCCAGCTGATGGACCCTTTCGCTGAGATGGGTCTGAGTCTGAGCGCTACGGCAGCAGAGGAAAAGATGAAGGTCCATAACAAAGAAAAGAGAAAGGCTCCACAAATGGACTGGATGAAGAAATATGAGCTGTTCAGCAACTTCTGAGACTTTCCCTTCCAATGACAGATGTTTGAGCGCTCTGCGAAGGATATCACGATATAAGAAGACAAAAGGAAAAAAGTTGTACTATGGATTTGACTTTTTAAGCCACTTCAGAGACTCTTTAACAGCTTATTTTCTCCTTTTTAAAGCACAACATGAAGGAAGTGCTAACTGACTGAAGGAACTATGAAGGAAAAGCATATTTTAAAGTCAAGTTTTTACAAATGTATGTACATCCCCATCACTTTAATCCTCCTTTATCCACACTTCTAGAGACTTGTTTCAAACAAATGAGGGAGAGAAAAGTATAAACAAACTATAAAAAGAAAATATTATCCCATCTTCATGCATTTTAAAAGAGCTTTATGGACACTGTGACAACAATGATTGTGGACAATGTGGGAGTTTTGGCCCATCAGTCAGAGGAAGCCCAAGATGGGCAGAAGATCACTGTGAAAGAGTTCAGAGCCTCCACCTTCAGCCCACGCAGATCTATTTTATTATCACGCATAAAGAAAAGGATGGCTGTGTGTTCTGGTTGCAGCATTTCCTACATGTATTTTTACAGAGTGTATTAACTGGTCATCAGATCAGCCCTGCTTTTGTTCAAAAAGGTAATCCATTATCCATTATATCCATTATCCTAAATAACACATTATTCCGTGTTATTTAGCACTCACTTTTAATAATGTATTACCACTAAACTCTTTTCCAAAATGCTCCGGTGCACAACAAAGGGAAGCACCACTAACATCAAATGTATTGATACATTTAACCATGGAAGCTGGAAAGTAGGCGAGGAAGGTTTTGTCTGGGCAAAAAGTACAAATAGAGTTTATCATTGGAGGAGGCCTGATGTGTACAGCAGGGGGCAATCTTGCTCCACAAATAAGAGGTCCGGTTTGGCCCGGGAAATAAAACAGAGAAGATGGTTAAGCAGGCTGGTTTTATTGTGACACTAGAGGACTATTACTTAGTTAAGAAGAGTAACGTATTTTGGTGTCCACTAGTTGTCATGGCCAGGGAACAGTCCGGCACAAATTGCAAGTGGATGTTTTTACACTCGTACCTATTAAACAAATGTGATTTTTTTACATATTAAAAACATTGATTAAGATGTGGCAAGCAAGCTGTTTCCCCCATTTTTCTATTTTATGCTAACCTAAGCTAACCTGCCGTTTGCAGTAGCTTCACATTTAGCACAGGTGACACTTTCCAACCAAAAGTGAAAAGGGGTTTTCCCAAAAATGCTGTACTATTCCATTAATTAGATGATGGTCAGGGCCGGGAATGAGCTCAGAAGTGCAACTATAGCCGTGAAAGATAGTTATAGGATGTGATGGGGTCCAACGTGAGCAGAGTGTGAGCAGGTTGTGGGGCAGAGAGGTGTAGCTAAGGCTGCACAGTGAGGTCAGAGATGCTCCGGGGGATCTAGTGAAAGAGAATGCAGGAGCCATTGAGCTTACTGAGGATTATTATACACACAGGGTCACAGCTGTCATGCTGGAGCACAATGTGTACGAGTGTAGAGAAGGTATACATGCCGCAATCCAAGCTATGTTGATACAATGCATTGCAACAAGTGAAAGTGCAAATTGGAGAACTTGTCTTTTTGTACCTGTTCATACCTTTACAGTGTCCTAATTCATCTTTGTACATCATTCTGTGTGTGCATTAGCGTTTCACTATGTATGTTCTGACAGTCACAGTAAAGAAAACTCTATGATACCATGGCTCATGTATATATACAGTAAAAGCACACGGCAGGTGGCATTTTTTTCAATAAAGTGTGACAATGGTGTTTTTGAATATATTAAACTGTTGTCATTATCTCTCATGCCTTCTGTAGTCGGTCTCTTCAATACTTAACATTTTGCTTTCCCATCTATCTGCTCTAAAGGCACACACTTTGTTTTAAAGCTCTTTGTGTGAATGGAAATGTATTATCTCACATTCTTCCTCGTTATTAGTCTCTCTGTTATGATTCCTCTTTAATTCCCTCCTTCTCTCTTGCAGAGGATTACGCTAGTGTTCAGTTTTCAGTTTCAGTTCTCACAATTCTCCACCAGCCAGCTGCTGAGAGCTTAAAGGCCAAGCAAAGGTTAAATAGAGTTCAAAAGTAATTGAACTGTGTGTCTGGTGTGTGTGAGAGAGTCTGTGCATGTGTGTGAGGGGTTGACGGGGAAGAGTGTGTCTCCGTACTTTCATGTGATTCTCTGTCTGGCAGCATACAGGGTCAGGAGTACAGTATGCAGCTGTATTTTTGGTCTAAATCTCCCTTCAGTCTGCATGTATCAAGTTGCCGAAAGAAAGTGCTGGACGAAATATAAGGATGTGTTACTTAAATAAAATTGCTGACATAACAATGTAAGTGAGTTTAATAAAGCAAAATGGACAGGTTTAGCCAAAAATACAAATGTTTCGAGTATTTTGTTCAGGATTTTTAATACTGATGCCTTATCGTGTAAACAGCATAAACTGTTGATGTTGTTGGTGCTAGCTTTATCTCAATACAGTCGAAATACAAGGGTAAAAATTGACCTGCATACAAGTAAAGGGTTGGTCAGTTAAAATTGAGCTTTTCTGAGTTAATGTTGAGGAGGGTGTTATGAATGATCAACATCAGCAACAAGTGATGTCCAAACAAACAAGAACATCTATTCTGTAGATGGAGCCTGTTCATATAAAGGCTTGCAACTGATTATGAATTATACAGCATCCTTACTCTGTTTACCGTTACTAGAATTAACCAGAAAAGACACAAAAGCATGGTGTCTATGGACACCACGGCGGTAATAGACTAGAAAACTACCATGCCACATATTATAGAGTCATCGGCAGAATTAAACATGGCCAAAGCAGACAGACAACACATGCGGTATGAACAATAAACTCCACAGACCAGGGACGTGCACAGACCTTTTGGGGGGCAGGAGCTCAAGTGAGAAAAAGGGCACTTCCCATAATAATTTATAAAAAAATGTTTTAAAACAAAAAGTAAAAAATAGTTGCACATCTCTGACTTACTGACCAATTTATTTTAATACCCTCACACTCACGCAATTGTTTAATACTCAACAGAATTCTACAAAAATAATCAGCTAACACAGAGACAATGGTCTTCTTTAGTATTCACTAAGCACAAGAGCAGACAACAAACTAGTACAATTAATAGTTATTAAATGAGCAACAAACAATCAAAATTATGAAGTTACTGTTTAAGGCAGGACATTACAGGCAAAAAGATCGTTATGTCTGAATTCTTAGATATAAAACTAATCTGCATTTAAAGTTTTTAAACATAACATTTCCGGGGGAAATACTGACTTGACGTAAGTAAAAATCTGGGGAAGTTGTGAGGTGCTATGTTTTTTATCCTTTTCACCTGCAATGCCTTGGTAACTGCATGCAAATTTGCGCATTTTAATTAGGCCTAGTTAACGCCAAATTTGCATATCAATGTGGTGATTGTGATTACGTTATTAGATACACATTGTACTGTATTCACCTGTAGTGTCTCCCCCTAAGTGCAGTAGGCCTACATTAGCCTGTATGCCCATGATAAATTGCCTTAGCTAAACCTTGAGCTAACTTATCCATTAGCTGTACCCTACTTTAACTATATTTGTTTCTGTCTTTTGGCTAATTAGCTGTAAACTCGAGGCACTGGCAGTTTAGTCATTTGTTCATCTCCACTCACCTTCAGACAAGCCAAGAAAAGCCGGCATAACATGGGACTTTAAGGTGGGAGGTGCTGCTACCTGTCGGTCTGAAATGACTGCCGATGACTGTCCGCACCGCTGTGCGCGAGAAGTGGAGGGAGGAAGGGTAGAGAGAGAGCATCGAACTTCACAGTCTAATCTCCCGACATGATATTTTTATTTTGTATTCAATCAATATATTTTTGGAAAGGGAAACTGTGCGCAAACAGCAGTAGATATATATTCATTTATTGGAGAAAAACAAATGGAAAAAAAAGCACCCCATAAAAAGGGCACTTTCTCTGGAGGAAGAAAAAGGGCAGGGGCTCAAGCCCACTTTGATGTCTATGTGTGCACGTGCCTGCCACAGACGCTGCAGCAACATCACACAAACTCATGCACAACAGAAAGGAAGAGACGCACAGTTTTTAGTGTCGTGGTGCACATGCGCAGTGGCTTCATGTGTACAGTGAGTGCAGGAAGTGTGTTGCTGTTGTTGCACTCACCTGTATGAACGGCATCCTGTTAGACGGAGTTCTCCTTATTCTGCACGGTCCTCTTCAAATCAAAATAGGCAAACTAGTCCACTTCATCTCTCGATCCAAATGCACTTCTTAAAGTTTTCAAACATTTTGAGAAAAGGCTCTGCAAACAAACAGAACAGGGAATATTTTCGCGAAGGCCCCATGACACCCAAAGAAGGTAAAAAGTTCCTTATTAAAAGCAGAATCCCATCTGGAGGGTCCAGATTTTTACATCGGCATTTTAGCGGTATGCATTCAATTCAATTCAATTCAAAACCTTTATTTATCAAGGTGAAATCCCATTGAGATCAATGATCTATTTTTCAAGGGAGACCTGCAGCAGTATAGGTTCCACATGAAGACATAAAAACATAAACAACAAAAGAACATCATAGCAACATGTACAGGGATTCCAATTTACATATCTAACCACATGTACAGGTACCAACAGCATCTGATTGTGTAGCATCCAACCGAGCTTTAAAAACATACCATAGGTGTTAGCTAGTCCCAGCATGCACCTGTTGAGGACGCAATCAATGGGTGTGTTTGATTTGCGTCACTAAACATGATTGCCCTGTGGATGTAATCAATAAAGGTAACAAATAAACAACAAGTCCTCCAACTCATACGACCAAATGGGTCGATTGTTTAAGCCCTTATTACGACCAAATATGTCGTTTGTTCAAGCGCTTAATACGACCTATAATTACGTTTTAAAGTTGTCGGCCTCTAGTGCTCCCGTTGAATGCAAACGTTACAGATGGTCGTTTATTCACAAATAACCCTCTCTGTAAAATCCTAAATTGTAGGATAGTTTGGCCATTAAAACGCTTTATGATTAGATTTCTAGCGAGAAGTATATATTGTACTTTTAGAATCCACGTCCAGTCGTTATGTAGGATCTATAGTTTGATAGATATTACGAAGATGATTTGAGGTTTCGTCAGGAGAACGTGTATATGCGGCAAGCTTCCATGTAAAGTTACGGGTTGAAAACAGTATTTCCGGTCTCGACGTTTTCATAATAAAACCAATGATCATTACATTTACATTACATTGCATTTAGCTGACGCTTTTATCCAAAGCGACTTACAATAAGTACATTCGACCAGGAAGACACAACCTTGAAGAAAACAGAATCATATAAGTACATCAGCTTTCATAGAGCCAAACATTTCAAGTGCTACTCAACTGGCTTTAGGTAAGCCAGTCCTTTATTAGTATAAAAGTGCTTCGTTAATAGTTCTAACGCTCGAAGTGGAGTCGAAAGAGATGAGTTTTCAGTTTGCGCCGGAAGATGTGCAAGCTATCTGCCGTCCTGATGTCAATGGGGAGCTCATTCCACCATCTTGGAGCCAGGACAGCAAACCCACGTGTTTTCGCCGATGGGAACTTGGGTCCCCCTCGCAGCGAGGGCGCAACGAGTCGTTTGGCTGATGCAGAGCGTAGTGCACGCGCTGGGGTGTACGGTTTTAACCATGTCCTGGATGTAGGAAGGGCCAGATCCATTCGCAGCATGGTAAGCAAGTACCAGTGTCTTGAAGTGGATTCTAGCAGTTACCGGAAGCCAGTGAAGGGAGCGGAGGAGCGGAGTGGTGTGGGAGAATTTAGGAAGGTTGAAGACCAGACGAGCCGCTGCATTCTGGATGAGCTGCAGAGGTCGGATGGCACATGCAGGTAGACCAGCCAGGAGGGAGTTGCAGTAGTCTAGGCGTGAGATGACGAGAGCCTGGACCAGAACCTGAGTCGCTTTCTGAGTCAGCTGGGGACGTATCTTCCTGATGTTGTAAAGCGTGTATCTGCAGCAACGGGTTGTAGCAGCGATGTTTGCAGTGAAGGACAGGTTGTTATCTAGGGTCACACCCAGATTCCTTGCAGTCTGAGTCGGGGAAACAACTGAGGTGCCGATGTTGATTGTCAGGTCAAGAGTTGGACAATCTTTTCCCGGGAGGAAGAGCAGCTCAGTCTTGTCAAGGTTGAGCTTGAGGTGGTGAGCAGACATCCACTGAGAGATGTCAGCTAGACAAGCAGAGATGCGTGCGACGACCTGGGTCTCTGAGCGGGGAAAGGACAGAATTAATTGGGTGTCATCAGCGTAGCGGTGGTAAGAAAAACCATGCGGGCTAATGACTGATCCGAGCGAGTTTGTGTACAGGGAGAAGAGGAGGGGACCAAGAACAGAGCCCTGAGGGACCCCCGTAGTTAATTGACAAGGGTCGGACTCAGACCAAGGGCGCCGGAAGCGGGGGGGCCATTGGCCCCCCCACTTTTCAGCCCTGCCCCACATTTTCGCAGCAGCAGATTTATTTATTTTTTTTATTTTTTTTTCAGTCTTTATTTCGAACAGATTCAAAAATAACAAATAAAAAATAACAAATGTGAAAAACAGAATACCGTATTGTTATAATACAGTATTTATCCACATTCATGGTAATATTTGTATATTCAACAAACAAAACAAAAAAAGTCTTCATATTAATAATAATAATAAATCATATGTGTCCGAAAGGGAGTAGGAGGAAGCAAATGCTTATTAATTCCCACCCCTTACTTGATCAATGATTGTCCTTTAAATCATTATGCAAGTTATTCCTACTTAGATTTACATT